AACACCCAATCCTGTAAACTTTCTTAAACAGTTGAGTTTTTTTGTGTGATTTTTCTTTAGTTTCATCAGCTATTGCTAGCGTTAAGTGTATTTTAATGTGTGGCCCAAGGAATTCTTCATCTTCCAGTGTGGCCCAGGGAGGCCAAAAGATTGGACATCCCTGATATACACGTTAACAGAGGATAAGAGATCTCTACACGTTCATGTCTGTACTAACTTCATTTTTATAAATACGCATTTTCCACTCGTAACAAAAACTGTAAATGAAAATCATCCTGGGTCACAGCATCTCACGCCTATAATCCCAACACTGTAAGAGGCTGAGCGTTGGGAGGCCTGAGGTGGGGCGATCACCCTGAGGTCACAGAGTGTCAAGACAGCCCTGCCCACAAGTACACCCATCTGTACTAAATCACAAAATTAGCCAGGCGTGGTGGTGCGCGCCTATAATCCCAGCTACTCGGGAGGCTGAGGCAGGAAAATCACTTGAACTGGGAGGCAGAGGTGCAGTGAGCTAAGATTGCGCCCTGCACTCCAGCCTGAGGAACACAGTAAAACTCTGGCCAAACATAAAAAAGAGGCTAGCAGAACATCACATACGTGGCATGTGTTAGACCCAATCTCTACAAAATAAAACAACTACTGCATGGTGGCCACGCACCTGTCCTCCCAGCTGCCTTGGGAGGTGGGAGGACTGACAGAGCCCAGGAACCGAGGCTGTGGTGAGCAGTGACCGTGCCACCGCACTCCAGCCTGGGTGACAGAACACGATCGTATCTCAAAAAAACGAAAATCACTCTGGCTACTGGCTCTTCAGGCATCTGTGCTTATCAGAACACCAGCCCCTTCTAAGCGTTGTGTGTGTGTGGGTTTTGTTTTTTGGGGTTTTTTATTTTTTTGTTTCTTGAGATGGAGGCTGCTTTGTTGACTCCAGGCTGGAGTGCAGTGGCACAATCTCGGCTCACTGCAACCTCCGCCTCCCCGGGTGCAAGTGATTCTCCCGCCTCAGCCTCCTGAGTAGCTGGGATTACAGGCCACCTGCCATCCGTCCTGCTGCACCCGGCTAATTTTTGTATTTTTTGTAGAGATGGGGTTTCACCATGTTGGCCAGGCTGGTCTCGAACTCCTGACCTCAGGTGATCCGCCTGCCTAGGCCTCCCAAAGTGTTGGGATTACAGGCGTGAGCCACTGTGCCCGGCCGCTTTCTAAGCTTTGTGAAGAGTGGATTGACTGAGCAGCCAGGTAGATGTAGATTCAGATCTCTGCTTCTGTCCCGCTGTGCCAAGCACTGGGGCAGACACGGGCAGAGTGTGGAGAGCGGCACGGTGCCTGCTGCTAGCCACTTCTATGCAAAACCAGATTTCTGGTCCCATCCTGGAGGCCAATTCTAGATACCTGGGTGGGCCTGTGAACCTGTGAACCAAGTAACCTGACTTGGACACCCCCCTGCCTCACCAGGCCTGTTCTAGCAGCCCCACACAATAAGCTAATGTCCTGTCCCCAAACACCGCCATCCTGAAACACATGTGCTCTGTTTCTAGGCCGGGCTGGGATCAGATGGGAGGCTGAACCTCGTCATGACCAGAAGCTGTTTCCCTACGAAGAGCACTTGGAAATGGCAATTCTGAACCTCACACTGTAGGCCTCACACACGCCTTCCAACGTGACTGTGAGAATCAAGTCACTATCGTGGGAAGAATTTGTATATGGGAAAGCGGATAAAACTTTCAGTGGACTGGAATGTTTGAAGAATGTTAAATTCCAAACCAGGAACCACAAACTGCCCTCTAATAAGACATCGGCTGTCTAAGTGTGGGGGTGCCCCCTTTCTGCCAGCAGTTCTAGTTCTTAAGAAAATCACCATAAATCAGACATGAAAATTCTGGCTCCAAAAATAGCATTTTCTTTGCGCAAATAAAAACGTGTGTATCAAGTATGATGTCCCCCAACATGGACACACTCGGTTCCTCACAAAGCCAAGCCCGCTGCAGCTGCCACATCCCTGGGCTTACGGTGCAGCCGGTGCTTTTTTTCAAGACAGGAATCAAAACGTTAGGAACACGGCAGAAAGGCGACACCTGGAGACCAAACACAGGAGGAGGAGTCCTGCAGAGGTCATGGGGAAGTCACAGAACAGTAATACGCTAGCAGGGGCATGGGGCGTGAAGAACAGAAGAGAGGAAATGTTTCCGAGCCTCCAAAGAAATCAGGGCCAACCACAGCTTCCGGGGTCCCAACCAATTCATTCACCAGGCGGCACCACTGCCGTCATTTCAGCTACTGGCCACTGGGAGGCGCTGCTTGAAAGGGTTTGCCCTGAGACTCCCAAGAAGCTGTAAGGAGGGCAGCCGGGGTCCTGGGGTTTTAGCCTCTGGCCCAGGAGTCATGTGTCCATAACCAAAGGGAGCACAGTCTGCACCCAGCTCTCATCCCATCGGAGCTGCTCCGACTCCCGCAGGTTCTTCCGGAACTGGTTTAGCTTGCCCGCAGGATCAGGAAAGTTTGAGAAAAGCATCTGCGAAAAAATAAAGAGCAGAGCTTACCTCACTGCCTGTCCCCACCCCATCCCAGGTCCCTGACCCAGCAACACCCCCTCCCCAGCCCCTAACTCCCTCACTTGGACTTGAGACCCTTCACGCCCCAGCAGCGCTCCGCCTCCACTTTGACATCACGCTTTCTGGAAACTTTCCCACATATCCCACTTTCCCACACTTGGTGCCCTGGAGCACCTCCCGGCCTCTACATGCTGTGCCTTCCCCTGGAGCACCCTCCTCTCAGCCTCTGGCCAACACAGTCCCACGCATCTGTGCATAACAAGGGGGTGTCAGTGTTCTTTTCAGCCTTGCTAAACTGTCTGAATCAAGGATCACAAACTACAGCCTGCAGGCCAAATCCAGCCCACAGCCTGTCTGTAAATAAAGTTTTATTGGAACAAAGCCACACCCCTTCATCTACAGATGATCTGTGGCTACTTTCACACCACAGCAGAGTCCCATGGTTCTGACAGAGACTGGGGGACCCAGTCTAAATGACTTCCGACCTGGACCTTTACTGAAAATCCTGCCAATCATTCTGTTGGCAAGAATGATGTGTTACTTTTTGCAACAAAAAACAAGTAACCTCTGCAGAATTCCACTCATCTTTCAAGGCGGGTCCCAGAAGCTCCCTTTGCCCGCCTACCTGATCCTGATCACTTCCTGAACTGCAGTCCGGCCCACCGGCTCCAGCATCATTTGTGGAGTGTCAGCTCCATAACTCCAGAGGACAGGTGGGGGTGTGTCCTAACTTTCCCCAGCCTACTGTACTGAAACGGGACAGCAGAGTAGGCCGGCCTCTGTGACCTCTGCTCCCTCCCTAGCTTTTCCGCCAGACCCCACATGGTCCCACCCTGGCTGTGGGAAGCAGGAATCAGGGAGCGTGGCTCGGTGCCAGTCTCCACAACCCTCCCCACCCTGGCATGTGGCAGACGTGGCTACCTGCAGCTGAGCTGCCAATTCCTCTGAGTCCTCAAAGACTAGGCCGTTTTCTTCATGCTTCACCAGCTCATGTAAACTGCAGGGAGAACCAAGGGAGCCTCAGAGTTGCCTGCAGAAGACACCAGACCCTGGGGTGCCCACCTGGGCTCCCACCCGCCCCACACTCAGGCCAGGCTGGGGGTGTGGTTTCCGGGAGCTAGTTCTGAGATCTGGCATCTGAAGGGTATAAAGGCCTGGGAGGGTTGCACATGAAAATGGCCAAACCGATTTAAGGAGGGAGCCTTAAGGAGGGTTTGTACCTTCTGTGCTGGATGCTCTTCACGAACTGAAGAATTATTTTTGCATGCTTTTCTTAACTCCATGGCCATGGAACAAGGAAAGGCAACCCCCTGGGGACTGGCTCAGCACATAAAAGATGACCTTTCTGGGGCACCAGGTATGATCCCCACATTTCCCTGAGCTCAGCCTCACACGAGGGGCGCATATCCCTGAATCCCACCCAGGGGCAGGCTCCTGAGCGGGGGCCAAGGACTCAGCTTGCGCCGGGGCTACTACTTCTAGAATCTCTTCTAACGCCGCCCTTCCAAACGCCCGTCTGTACTGGGTGGAGTGAGGCCAGAGCATGACACTCATTTAGCTGATTCAAACCCACCATGTGAGCTTGGCCAAAAGGGACATGGCTGGACAGAAACAAAGAAAACCATGTAAGCCTGCAGGCAATTCCCGCCAATTCTACTCTAGGAGCAAAAGCCCCCAGTGGAGTTCTAGTATTTAAGATGCTTTTTTTTCATATTAGGTTGGTGCTAAAGTAATTGCCATTTTTAGTGGCAAAAACCGTGATTACTTTTGCATCAACCTAAATGTAACACGAGCTCTAAATGGAAGCAACGACTTCAGTGAGGCTCAAGCCCAGCCACAGGAACCGCAGGGCTCCTCCTAGTGGCCTCCAGTGTGTACTGCACTGACCGAGGGGCAGGGCCTCACTGTGGGCAGCTCGCTCTGCACTGCATCCCCCTCAGCGGTGGATCTGCGAAGCTATCCCCAGAAAGATTCGGGTTCTGCTCCTACCACTTGAAGTTCACGGCACACACAGGCAAACAGCACCCGAACATGTCCACCACCTTCATGGGCAGGTCCAGGCCACTGGAGGACGTGTGCAGACAGACACCCAGGTCTGCCGACCCTGCTAGGCAAGAGGGGTGCGGTGAGAGCACTGGCCTCTGCCCTGGGAACACAGATCCTCCCAGCACAGTGAGGCAACACCCCACAAGGGGAGTAAAAATCGGAAAAGGCCCCCGACAGCCCCAAACACAAGTGGCTTAAGCTGGCCAAGCAGCCACACGGCCTGGCTGGGACATCTGAGAATATAAGTTGACACTTTTTCTACGTAACCCTAATTTGGTTTTTTTGTTGTTGTTTTGTTTTGTTTTGAGACAGTCTCACTCTGTCACCCAGGCTGCAGGGCAGTGGCACAATCTTGGCTCACTGCAACCTCCACCTCCGAGGTTCACCTCCCACCTGTAATCCCCGCATTTTGGGAGGCCAAGGCGGGCAGATCACCTGAGGTCAGGAGTTCAAGACCAGCCTGGCCAACATGGTGAAACCCCATCTCTGCTAAAAAAAATACAAAATCAGCCGAGCATCGTGGCAGGTGCCTGTAATCCCAGCTACTCGGGAGGCTGAGGCAGGAGAATCGCTTGAACCCGGGAAGGCGGAGGTAGAGATGAGCCAAGATATCACCATTGCACTCCAGCCTGTGCTACAACAGCGAAACTCCGTCTCAAAATAATAATAATAATAACAAATCACAGCACACCCACCACAAACCAGCTGTCACCATGAAAATAAAGCCAAATAGCTTAACATTTCTAAAGACTAGCCAGGGCCAGGCGTGATGGGTCACGCCTGGAATCCCAGCACTTGGGGAGGCCAAGGCAGGAGGATCACTTGAGGTCAGGAGTTCGAGACCACTGTGGCCAACATGGTGAAACCCTGTCTCGACTAAAAATACAAAAATAAGCCAGGTGTTGTGGCGGGTTCCTGTAATCCTGTAATCTACTCAGGAGGCTGAGGTGGGAGAATCGCTTGAACCCAGGAGCAGAGGTTGCATGAACTGAGATCGTGCACTCCAGCATAGGCGACGGAGCGAAACTGTCTAAAAAAAAGACTAGCTAGAGAGTCCTGCCAGGAAAAGGCCCTCAGCCTCCAACTGCTCTGCTCACTCAAGGCTGGAAGATGCGGCTCTAGAGACACATCAGGACCAAGCCGACTCCCCACTTGGAGAAATCAACGGGAAAGAGACAGGGGCAGGGGAGAACCATCTCACTGGGAGAGGCGACGCTGTTTGACACATTGTCCCTGTACCTCCCAAAGCCACTGCCCTCCCACACCTGGGCAACAGTGGCCCGAACCCGAGGCCCAGCCGTCCTGCGGGAAGGAAGAGGACTGAATGGAGGGCGTGGCAGGCTGAAAGGACGTGGCCTCCTCAAACCCCTTAGTAAACAGCCTCTGGGGTCACCTGGCAGGGAGGGGCTGGCACACCAGGAAGTAGCCTCCTCCAGGGAGTTCAGCCAGAGGTCTCAGCAGCAGGCCAGGCCCTGTCCCCAAGTGGCCTCCAGAGCCACCTTCTCAGGAAAATTCCATTCCACCCACCTGTTTCCCCCACTGAAGGCCCCGCCTCCTCCTGAGCCTCCTGCCGGCCTCTCACCTAGAAGCAGGGGGTAGTCCTCGGCCTCCAGCCAGGGTGTGCAGACCTGGACGCGCTGGAAACACTTCTGCTGGATGAGGCGGCTGTAATACTCCCTCAGAGGCCCTTTGCCTTCACAGAGAAGAGCAGACACTGCCACGGACCCGTCTCTGTCCCTGTCACATGGCCCCAAGCCCAAGACTCCCCCCTAGGAGGGATCCCTTTCCCAGAAGCCCCACCCCTCGGCAGCTCCAGCCAGGCCCCATCCGGGTCCTTCCAGAAGCAACCCAGGAGCCCCAAGCCCTGCAGGGGTGTGCACCCTGACCCCTGAGGCACAGCCCTGCAGCTGCAGCCAGCTGCCTCGGGCTGCAAACACAGCGGGGCAAGCACTGGCCTGGCACCTGACCGCCCACTAGATGGACCCAGCCTTTTGTCTGTGGTGTGCACAGGGGACACGAAGGCTCCCCCTGCCCTGCCACAGCCCCCAGAGCACATGGCATGGGTTCCACACTACTCCTGGCAGCCTAGAGGCCAGAGGAGGGAGGAGAGCAGGACCAGTAGCTGGCCCAGACCCTGCCTCTTCCCACACCGCTTCTGCTTTTCTCCTTCTTCACTGAATCACCTCAAAAGTGCTCAGAAGCAGTAACTGTGGGACAGGGGCTCTTCCGTTTGAAAAATTAAAAGAGGCTTGGTTAAGGCACCAATGACGTGGCCAGGCACAGTGGTTCGTGCCTGTAATTCCAGCACTTTGGGAGGCCAAGGTGGGTGGATCACCTGACGTCAGGAGTTCGAGGCCAGCCTGGCCAACATGGTGAAACCCCATCTCTACTAAAAATACAAAAATTAGCTGGATGTGGTGGAGGGTGCCTGTAATCCCAGCTACTTGGGAGGCTGAGGCAAGAGAATTGCTGGAACATGGGAGGCGGAGGTTGCAGTGAGCCGAGATTGCGCCATTGCACTCCAGCCTGGGTGACAGAGACTCTGTCTCAAAAAAAAAAAAAAAAGACACCAGTGATGTAACAACAACAACAAACAGATGCTTGAAAACTACTGAGAAAGTAAAAGCCTGTTATCTGCAGATTCAAATCTGGGCTCCCTGCCCAGCTATGAAACCCTCTGAGCCTCAGTTTCCCCCATGCCAAGCAGTATAAGACCCTATGGCAGAGAGCTGCAGTGAGGATTAAGGAGATAAGATCATGGGAAGCACAGGATAAAGGCTGCGTGCCCCTCCCCGTCCGCCATCCCCCAGCCAAACAGACACCCAGGGTCCCAGGCGGTACCTGTTATCACACAGACGAGAGAAGGAAGGTTGTGTCCATCAAGAATCAGTTGTTCAAACTCTGTGTTTAAAAAAAGAAACAAGTCTACATGGAATTTGTGATAGAATTTTTTTCTTTTTTTTTCTGACAGAGTCTCGCTCTGTAACCCAGGTTGGAATGCGGTGGCACGATCTCAGCTCACTGCAACCTCTGCCTCCCGCGTTCAAGTAATTCTCCTGCCTCAGCCTCCCGAGTAGCTGGGATGACAGGCGCCCGCCACCATACCTGGCTAATTTTTGTATTTTTGGTAGAGACAGGGTTTTGCCATGTTGGCCAGGTTGGTCTCGAACTCCTGACCTCAGGTGATCTGCCTGCCTCGGCCTCCCAGAGTTCTAGGATTACAGGTGTGAGCCACCACGCCCATTCAGAAAAAAAATGTTTAAATAAACAATAGCCAGAGTCACCTGGTCAGGCGGAGAAAGGCCACTGCTCTGGTTGGGAGGCCACCAGGCTCTGTGAGACACTCTCCTGGAGGGGGCATTTCAGCTTGAGAGCCTGGTCACTCAGTGACCCAGTGGGGATTCATAGCAGCCCACCTCCACCACCCCTGCTGTCCCCAGGCTGCCCCACCCAGTGGACCAGGACAGGAACGTGCTGCAGGCAAGACAAGCAGCTCACAGCTCAGGGGCCCCCAACAAACCCAGAGCTCCTCACCGCAGCCACACACCTACTTTCTAAAGCTGCCAGCAGGATGGAGAAGTCTTCGTCCTCTACAAGAAGAGAACTGAATGTCAGGGGCCTGTTTCTAGACACCCCTCTTCCAGCTCACATGCCCTCCCCTTCTCACTGAGACCGTGGTGGGGTGGGGGCATGCAGGACTGGCAGGGGTGAGGAGAACACAGGTTGGCCAGGTGCCCGTCACACCAACCCCAAGTGCCCCAGGGGTCGTGCAGACCTGTCCAGCTCGTGCTGCTGACCAGCAGGGCCGGCCGCTCGCGGAGACGCGTCACCAGCCCGCTCCCAGCGTACCGCTCTGTGAAGGCCGACCGCTCCGTGGCTGGGTCCTCAGGTTCTGAGCTGAAGGAGCAGGAAAAAAGCCTGTGAGAGGCCACAGAGCAGGCCCAGGACCCAGGACGGGCATCTCTGCTGTGGTGAGGCCTGCAGGCTCCGAAAGGTTGGGGTGCCCGGCCGCATCAGCAGTAGCAGGCCACCCCTGCCATCTGAGGCCCAGGCTTGCTTTCTCTAATATTGTTGCTGGGAGCTAAGGTTACAACAGCAAACAAGACTGACTCGTTCCTTTCCTCACGGGACTTACTGTCTTATCATCCCCTGGACTCAAGGTGAGGGTGCTGGGGTGCCCTCCCACACCACCCCAGCTTACCCAGGGCACACCTCAGGGTGTGTGGACCTTCTCAGCCCCATGAGACACCCCAGGGGACACACAGGTCCACAGATCCTGCCACAGGCCTGGGAACCCACTGGCAGGAGAGTAAGACAGCGCAAGGGTCCACAAACATTTCTTAAAGGGCCAGAGAGTAAATACTTCAGGCTTTGTGGGCCACAGGTTCTCTGTTCTGCTGTTGTCGTTCAAAGGCGGCTGCAGACAACTCAGATGGGAATGAGTGTGCTGTGTCCCAGTGAAACTTGATTTTCAAAAGCAGGAGACTGGCCTGTGGCCTTAGTTTGCCAACCCGTGGATGAGTGGGTTCCCAGGTCTTCAGGGAGAAGGGGAGAGACCAGGGCAGTGGCAAGCAGGAGAGAAGGCAGCTGAGGATGGGAGACCTACCGCGCCCTGAACGGAGAGTGCGTGCCGCCCAGCTTCATGAAGAGCCGGTGCTGCAGATCCAGAGGTGTCTCTTTAAAGAAAGATGCCGGCTTGTCGTAGACAGTCACAGCCCTGCAATGAAATCATGGCGGGGCTATTGGGAGGGCTGAAGAAAGGCCTCAGGAATAGAGGACTCAGAGGCCCCAGGAAAAGAAGGATGCTTGGGGAATCCAAGTCTCAGACGATGACAAGAAGCCTTGCAATTACTTGGGAATGCACAGAGACGTCCTAGGACCAAAACTGCCTGGACCCCCTGGCTGGCTGGGAAAGAAACTCTGCCCCTTCCTTCTCTGGCTTCCCCAAACCAGGGACCACCTCCCAGGCCCTCAGTATTTCAAACTGCCTCGCCAGCACGGCCACAGCAGGCAAGGCAGCTCTCACTGCAGCCAATCAGGGGCCCTGTGCCGCCGTAGTCCCAGGCCTTGGTACCTGATGCACCAGTTCTCCGCCAGGTCTTCCCGCATGGCATTGGTAACGCACAGGTTCAGGTGGGACAGGCGCCCAAAGAACCTCTCGTACCTGAAAAGAGGGATTAGCAGTCAGCAGAGCCATAGACAGGCCTCCGCTACCACCACCACGTGACTCGACATCCCTCAACGGAGAAAAGGCCGCAGAGCTGGGAGAGTCTGTACTCCCTGGGTCCCCCCTGTGCCAGTGCTCTTTCTTTATGCTGTATACACCTTTCTTTATGTTGTGTCATTTGTTGACTTAAATACAATCACTTTGAAAGGAAACTGTGCTCCAGCCTGGGCAGCAGAGCAAGACTCTGCCTCAAATAAATACATACAAATTGAAAAAATCAATAAAAGGACACTGTGTATCACTGCCAAAGTGGACATCCTCTCTCTTGCTGTAAAAGGCCTCACTAGTGGATCTCAGCCACCCTGTGCTACCACTGCAAAGGCTGTAAGGCTACGGCTTGCTCTCAACGTGGGGCAAAGGGATTCAGTGAACGCTGTACACGTTCTCTCCTAATGGAGACTGAGCCCTGATCGCAGGGGAGGGCCAGAACAGGGCATGAGCGGTATCGCCGCCAGGGTATCATGGCCTGTTCCTCTCTCAAGATGCGGAGAAAGCTCAGAAATGGGGTTGCCTGGGACGACATTTTGGTCCTTACACTTAGCTGTGTGGCAAGACGTGTAATCGTTCTCAGCCTCAGTTTCCTAACTTGTAAAAGGTACACCCTCCTGAGGTGCATGGAGATTGAACGAGGTAAAATACAAAAAGGTCTTGGCGGGAGGACTGGCATGCAGCAGGTGCTCACCATGAAGCATTTTGCTCAGTTTGCTCAATTGAGCTGTTTGCTGCTGCTGTCACCACTGCCAGTGAACAAACTCATCAGGGCAAAGGTCACAGCCAGCCAGTGGCCCAAGGCTGGAAGTACACACAGAGGCTGGACATGCACACAGAGGCTGCATGTGCACATGAAGGCTGGCTGTGCAGAGCATAACAGACATGTTATAGTCAGGCTCAGGGTACAGCACACGACCTTCCCAGCTCCACGTCCCACCGCTACCACTGGCCCTTCTTCCCTCCCTGTCTCATCAGCTACAGCAACTGTGGCCCACTTCTCCAGCTCCCAACAGCAGCCCTGGGTTTCAATTTGGGAATCTGCTCTCACACACCCTCTGTCCATGGGATATGGATGCTCCTGAGACCCAGCTCTTCTACTGGAGCACTTGCCCCCTGGCCTCAATAGGCAGATCAGAGGAAGGCAGGTAACCGACATGAGCCGATCAGACAAGGCTGCCCTCCCCACTGAGCCTAGGTGGAGACGAGAGCTAGGAGAGCTCCGGGAACCACCACCAGAAGGGAGTGTGGAGACAGACATGAGCTGGGTCCCAGGGACACTGCTGAGCTCGAAACCAACCCTTTCCCCAGACACTTCCATTTCATGGGCCAAAAAATGTGGTCCTTTGCTGAGGCCTGTTTCTATCACTTGGAACCAGCATTTGGCCTGATTCACCAGCTTCACTCCGCCTCCTGCAGAGCACACAAGGAACCAGCTTCCGGAGGCCCACAATGGCCCCTCTTCTCACTCACCCTTGAGTGGTTTGGGGGATGGTATTTTACCCTCTTCCCAGACTCTCACCACTTGGCCAGCAGAACGAGGGGGTGGCTGGGGCCATGCACCAGACCCATGATGGAGTAGCCATAGTTGTGCCAGTCAATGACGAGTTTGCTTCCACAAAGGCAGCCCACGAACCAGCAGACAGCAATGCTAGGCAGACCTGGGGGGTTCTAGGAAAGACACAGACTTGAAGAGGAGGAAACCCAAACCATGCTCGGCAATAAACCAAGTAAAAATAGTCACAACACACATGGTGATGAGTCTATTACCTTTACAGCGCTCTTGATAATAAGCAGAAGAAAGACCCTCCCACCACCAAAATAGGTGTAAAAAGTCATAAAAGAAACACAATGGGCCAGGTGCGGTGGCTGATGCCTGTAATTGCAACTCTTTGGGAGGCCAGGGCATAAGGATCATATGAGCCCAGGAGTTCAAGACCGGCCTAGGAAACACAGTGAGACCTCATCTCTACAAAAAATTTAAACATTAGCCAGGTGTGGTGGGACACGCCTGTAGCCCCAACTACTCAGAAGGCTGAGGAGGTAGGATCACTTGAGCCCAGGAGGATGAGGCTACAGTTAAGCTATGATTGTGCCAAGGCACTCCAGCCTGGGCGACAGAGCTAGACTCTGTCTCTAAAACAAACAAACAAACAAACAAAACCAAACAAACAGAACCAACCTGAAAAGTCCAAGATCATCAATAATCAAGGAGGCAAAAAACAGAACAAAGAGATGGCATTTGTCACCTGTCAGAATGCAAATTCTAAAAAAGTCTAACAACAGCTGGTGATGGTAAGCATGGGGGAGAAGAGGCACCTCCACTCAGCAGTGGCCAAACTGGCCCAACCTTACTCTAAAGCTATCCAATAACATACACATCTTTAAAATGCATCAACTTTGACTACACAATTCCATTACTAGGAATTTATCCTAAGAAAGAAACTGGACTTATGCAAAAGGCATATGCTCACTGTGCTTGGAGCTGCACTATTTGTAAAAGTAAAAACAAAATCAGGAAGAATCTGAGTATCCATTAACAAGAGACTAAATACATGTAGTATGGTACATCACATATTGGAATTCAAGGCTGCCTATTAAAAGAGGAAGGCGTGGGGCACGGTGGCTCACACCTGTAATTCCAGCACTCTGGGAGGCTGAGGCAGGTGGACCACCTGAGGTCAGGAGTTCAAGACCATCCTGGCCAACACAGCGAAAACCCATCTCTACTAAAAAAAAAAAAATTACAAAAACTAGCCAGGCATGGTGGTACGTGCCTGTAATCCCAGCTACTCAGGAAGCTGAGGCAGGAGAATCACTTGAACACAGGAGGGTGCAGTGAGCCAAAATCGTGCCACTGCACTACAGCCTGGGTAACAGAGAGAGACTCCATCTCAGGAAAAATACAATAAAAATAAAAAATAATAATAAATAAAAACAAAAATAAATAAAAGAGGAAGGTGCTTCTATATGTTAAAAATGGATTTGAAAAAAGAAAAAAAAAGGTATTCTTCAGCTAGAAAAGAAAGAAAAATTTTTTAAAGAAAAAAGTGATCAAGGGAAGAGGTTAAAAGTATAACAAGAGGCCAGGCACAGTGGCTCACGCCTGTAATCCCAGCACTTTGGGAGGCCAAGGCGGGCGGATCACCTGAGGTCAGGAGTTCAAGACCAGCCTGGCCAACATGGCGACACTCCATCTCTACTAAAAATACAAAAATTAGCTGGGCGTGGTGGTGGACACCTGTAATCCCAGCTACTCAGGAGGCTGAGGCAGGAGAATAGCTTGAACCCAGGAGGCAGAAGTTGCAGTAAGCCAAGATCACGCCATTGCACTCCAGCCTGGGCGACAAGAGCGAAACTCTGTCTCAAAAAATATGTGTGTGTGTGTGTGTGTATGTGTGTGTGTATACATATATGTGTGTATATATATACTACAGAACCAGACTGACTACCTACGTTCAAATCCCCTGATGCCACCGCTTCCTAGCTGTATGGCGATGGCCTACTTACAGAGCCTTTCTGGGTCTAGGTTTTCTCATCTAAATGAGAACAACCTTAAGAAACAGGTTCTTATATTACCTAAATGTAATACTTCTTAGGGTTACTGTGAGGACTAAATGAGTTAATACATGGAAAACACTTAGATACACAGTCAGTACAATGTAAGACTGTAATGACACAGACAGCATGGACAGGTGCCATAAATAGACACATACCATAGGCTCCTACTCATGTCTTTAAACGCCTATACACACAACACACACACACACACACATAAGAATATGCAATTTATTACCAATTTGTGCATGTTTAAAGACTCACATCTTTAAACTTTTATACACACACACACACATATGAATATGCAATATATTATTAATTTGTGCTGGAAAAGAAACCATTAACATGGTTCTCACAGAGGGAGGCAGGGGCTGATACACACCTGGAGAAAGATATAGTCACCTGGCTCCCTCCACATCAACTTCCACAGCAAGTACATAGCCTGAAATACAACTTTGACTCCGTACTGGAAAACTCGGGGCCCAACTGCAAGTCAGAAAACACCTGTGGCTACCAAAGGCGCGTCTGGCAATCTGCAAGGCTTTTCAAACAAACACCCCCTGCCCCCAGCCCACGGATTCAGAGGATTCTGGAGTTGACTGCATCCTACCTGCAAGACTCTGAAGTTCTGTCAACCCCACAATCTGAATTCTGTTGTTCTGCAGGAGCTCATCATGGGGTTTGGAGTCTGAAAATGAGAATGATCCCTTTAATGTACCAGAAGCAGCAATCTAAAGTCAGATAATCTCCCAACTCAGGCTGAATCACGCACGAAGAGTGTTTTGGAAGGTAAAATATTTCAAAACCTCTCTCTGTTCCTCACTAGCCAGAACAGAGAATGCGGCCAATTCTTTTCCTCTAGATAGCCCACAGAGAGAGAGCCTGAATCTTACCTACCTTCACTTCACACGATGCCTGGCAAACAGTACGAGCTCAATTAAACTAATCTAGATTATCTGGATAGTGGAATTTTCCCACCACAGAGCCATCCCTAGAAGTCCCACTCTACCCCATCACCCTAGCAGACTCTAAACAGGGATTAAAGGCAAGTAGTGCTGTTCCCACTTCTCCCTGAGATGGGGTTGAGCTACCCTCTCAAGATACCAACGTGGAGAATAATGAAAGAGCAGATACCGCTGCCCTGCACACTGTGGGTAAAAGATGGACATGAAGAACAAATGAAACATTTGTCTGCAGAGCTCTGCTTTGAGGGATGAGGAATAAGATATCCTGTCAACTCAGACATAGCTTGACAAAGGTAGCTGCACACAGACGTAGCTACCAGCACTAGCCCTGGAATCCCACGCACCTGGGTTCCACTTACTAGGAGAATTACGTGAGACCACGCAATGGATTCACTTAACACAGTTCTGACACGTGGCAAGATTAACGCCGGCTATACCTAGTGATCCACCCAAGAAAGGCTGGGCAGAATCCGCTCCTCCAATCTCGGAGAGCTGCCCAAAGGCAGCGACAAAAGGAGCACTTCCGCCTCGACTCCCCAGGGCGGTTAGAACCGAGGATCAATGGATGAGAGAGCATCCTCCCTCCCAGACCCTTGGCCACTCACTGCAGAACCCCAGGAGGGTCACCGAGAAGCCGTGCATGGCCAAAGACAGCGCGTGGTACTGCATACGGGGGCTGCGGCCCACGTCGCCCAGGACCACGGCTACTACATGCCGGGCCGCCCGCCTCCGCCGCCAGCGCTTCCATCCTCCCAGCAGCAGCAGCGGCAACAGCAGACACAGCGCCAGGAAGACCAACCAGGACGCCGCCATCTTGGCGGGCCCGCAACAGTCACGTGACCGCGCTTCCGCGCGCTGTGCGCAGCCGCAGACCGAGCCTCCGAAGTGGGCCGAGAGAGGGCGAGATAGGGACGCGGTTCCCTAAGAGGGGGCCAGGGAACCCCCAGGAGCCCCTGGGGCCAAGATTTATTAGTTGTAGTACACACGCACATACACCAGATTCCCTACACAGCAGGGTATTTCCCCGACTAAACTAAAGCTGTTACTGTATTGGGACATATGCATAAGTCACTAAATCTTCCTTGGAGCCTCAGATTTTGTTCAGGATGGTTGGCACCCGCTTGAGGGGTTGTCAAGGATTAGCAGAAGTAATGACAATGACAAGCTTCCCCTGGAACCTGGGTTCCCAGTGGTGCTCCCAAGGGGGTAGAAATGGTTCTTGGGGAGCAAAACATCCTTACCCTTTTTATGTATAAAGCACCGATATCGATACAATACACAAGCCTGCAGTATATCTGCAGTATTAAAATTTCATGAACGCTGAAAGCAGTGGCTCATGCCTGTAATCCTAGCACTTTGGGAAGCTGAGGCAGAAGGATCACTTGAGCCCGGGAGTTCAAGACCAGCCTGGGTACCATAGTGAAACCCCATCTCTACAAAGAATACCAAAAAAAATGATGGTGGTGTGTGCCTGTAGTCCCAGCTACTCGGGAGACTGAGCTGGGAGGATCGCCTGAGCCCAGGGAGGTCGAGGCTGCAGTGAACTATGATCACACCACTGCACTCCAGCCTAAGTGACAAAGCGAGACCCTGTCTCAAAAAAATAAATAAGTAAAATAAAATTTCATGGGGCAGTACATGAGGAACCCTCATCTTCGGCCATTGGGCATGTAACTGGCCCAGCCACTGTGGAAAACAGTTGGTGGTCCCTCATTAGGTTCAACATAGAATTACCACATGACCCAGCAATAGCATTCCCAGGTATACACCCAGGAGAATGAAAAACAGGTTTCCAAACAAAAACTTGTAAACAAATATCAGCACTGTCCACAAGAATCAAATCGTGGAAACCACCCAAAGGCTCATCAGCGGATGAGTGATGAATGGAGTGCGGTCTGTCCACAGCTCCCACAGCCTCCCACCCAAGGTTTCCCAGGTGTCTCCTTTTTTGTCTGTTAGCTTGTTTGTTTGTTTTGAGATGGAGTCTCACTCTGTCGCCCAGGCTGGAGTGCAGGGGTGCAGTCTCGGCTCACTGCAACGTCTGCCTCCCAGGTTCAAGTGATTCTCTTGCCTCAGCCTCCCAAGTAGCTGGGATCACAGTTGCGTGCCAACACGCCCGCTAATTTTTGTATTTTTAGTAGAGACCAGGTTTCACCATGTTGGCCAGGCTGGTCTTGAACTCCTGACCTCAAGTGATCTGCCGGCCTCGGCCTCTCCAAGTGCTGGGATGACAGGCGTAAGCCACCACACCTGGCCTAGCTGTCTACTTTTGGTTTGTCATCTCCATAATCCTCATCCTCTTAGCTCATCAGAGCAGGAGGGGCTTCCCTAGGAGGCGATGTTATTCATCCATAAAAAAGAATAAAGTACTGATATGTGCTGCAACACAGATGAGCCTTGAAAACATCACTCTGAGAGAAGCCAGACACAAAAGGCCATGCATTGTATGATTCCATTTATATGAAATATCCACAATAGGTCAAACCATAGATACAGAAAGTTGATTCATGGTTGCCAGAGGCTGGGGAGGGGGGAATAGGGAGTTTCTGCGAATGGGCGTGGGATTTCTTTTTGCGGTGGCAAAAACATTCTGGAGGTAGACAGGGATGGCTGCACAACTTTCTGAATATACTGAAAACCACTGTGAAACTGTACACATTTAAAAGGTGAATTTTATAGTACGTGAATAGTAGCTCAATAAGCCTCTTATTAAAGATTTTTCAGGATTAAAATGTCTAAAAACACTCCAGGGGTAGAAAAAAGACCCACGATGACATGAAAAGGTGGAGAAACTCTAACCTAGCACCTGCACATAGGGAGCATCAGATACACACTTTAGTGGTGTTCCTTTCATTATTATTACAGATCTGTAATCTCTTAACTGAAGCCCTTGGAACCAAGTATGTTTCTGAATTCAAAATTGTTTGGCTTTTAGAAAGATAATGTGGTACACATACATACAACATCCCCATCAAGGTTTGGGACAGCACCCAGGAAACCAACATGAAAATTTCTACAAGGAAATAGATGCACATTCACACTGAGTGAAATAAATAAGGACGCTAGGTCCTCACTCTTTGCTGTGGTTTGAGTGTGTGCCCTAAAGTTCGCATGTTGGAACCTTCATTCTTCATGCAACAGTGTTGAGAGAGGGAATCTTTCCTGAGGCCTCTGCCCTCATGAATGGATTCATGCTGTTATCGCAAAAGCGTGTTCCTGATAAAGGAATGAGTTTAGCTTCTTTCTCTTCTCTCTCTCTAGCTCTCTTGCCCTTCTGCCCTCCGCTGTGTGATGATACAGCAAGAAGACCCCCACCAGATGCAGCCCCTTGAACTGGACTTCCCAGCCTCCAGAACTATGAGCCCAATGAATTTCTTTTCTTTATAAATTCCTCAGTCTCAGGTATTGTTGTAGTAGCACAAAACTAAGACACTGCCCAGTATACCAGCTACATGTGACCTTCAAGCCCTTGAAATGTGGATAGTCTGAAATGAAATGTGCTCAGCCTGGCATGGTGGCTTACACCTGTAGTGCCAGCTACTCGGGAGGCTAAAGCAGGAGGGTCCCTTGAGCCCAGGAGCTCAACACCGCAGTGAACTATGACCATGCCACTGCACTCCAGCTTGGGCAACAGAGTGAGATCCTGTCTCTTAAAAATAAAATAATAAAGGCCGGCACCTGTAATCCCAGCACTTTGGGAAGCCGAGGCAGATGGATCACGAGGTCAGGAGATCGAGACCATCCTGGCTAACACAGTGAAACCCTACTAAAAATACAAAAAATTAGCCGGGGGTGGTAGCGGGCACCTGTAGTCCCAGCTACTCGGGAGGCTGAGGCAGGAAAATGGCGTGAACCCAGGAGACGGAGCTTGCAGTGAGCCGAGATCACGCCACTGCCCTCCAGCCTGGGCGACACAGCGAGACTCCATCTCAAAAATAAATAAATAAATAAAATAAAAAATAAAATAAAATAATAGTGTTGTGAACGTAAACTACTCATCAATTTCAAAGACTTAGTATGAGAAAAATAAAAAAAAATCATTTCTATATTGATTACAGATGTAATTATAATATTTTAAATCTTGGGTCAAATAAACTAGATCGTTAAAATTAACTTCGCCCGCTTATTGCTGCTCTCTTGATGTGGCTACTAGGAAATGTTGAAATGCACACATGGCTCACCTTTGTAGCTCCAATTCTATTTCAACTGGACGGTGCCCCTCTAAGGAAGTTTGCCTCAGCTCAAGGCAGATGTGCCCTCAGATGAGTTTGTTGTCGGGCGCAGTGGCTCAAGCCTAAAATCCCAGCACTTTGGGAGGCCGAGACGGGTGGATCACGAGGTCAGGAGATCGAGACCATCCTGGCTAACACAGTGAAACCCCGTCTCTACTAAAAAATACAAAAAGCTAGCCGGGCGAGGTGGCAGGTGCCTGTAGTCCCAGTTACTCAGGAGGCTGAGGCAGGAGAATGGCGTGAACCTGGGAGGCGGAGCTTGCGGTGAGCTGAGATCTGACCACTGCACTCCAGCCTGGGCAACAGAGCGAGACGCCGTCTCAAAAAAAAAAAAAAAAAAAAAAAAGAGTTTTTTTCAAATTGATTTAAAACAAAGGCTGGGTGTGGTGGCTCATGCCTGTAATCCCAGCACTTTGGGAGCCCGAGGAGGGTGGATCACTTGAGCGCACGAGTTCAAGACCAGCCTGAGCAACATAGTGAGACCCTGTCTCTATAAAAAAAGAAAAAATTAGCCAACCAAGGTGGCACATGCCTCTAGTCCCAGCTATTCAGGAGGCTAAGGCAAGAGGATCTATTGAGCCCAGGAGGTCAAGGCTGCAGTGAGCTGTGATCAAACCACTGCACTCCAGCCTGGGCAAGAGAATGAGAACCTATTTCAAAAAACAAAGGAAGAAAAAAAAATGTTTTTCGCTTTCAGAGCTTTTGGATTTCTGGGTTGAATTGCAATTGCTAGATCAAAGATGTAGCCTGTGGGTCTGGAGAATCAGGGCCAAGGACAGGGCGGGCGCCCCTCTCCCCAGCACCCCGCAGACAGCAGGCTGTACGCCCAGGACTGGTCTAACCTCCGCTGCCTCACAGTCATCCCCCGGCAGCCACCCTTCCCAGAGTCCTTTGCCCAGGCCACCCCAGGCTTTTTGGCAGCCCTGCCAGGCCACTTGTCTTCAGGTCTGCCAGGGGGAGGTGGGGAGGAAGTGGGAGGAGGGCGTGCAGAGGCGGCCCAGGCTGGGCCAGAGCTCAGGGTGCTGAGCGTGTGACCAGCTGTGAGCAGAGGCCAGCCATGGCCAGCCCGGGGCTGCTGCTCCTGCTCTTACTGACGGCACTGCCACCGCTGGGGTCCTACTTGCTGCCTGGACTGGACACTGCCGAAAGTAAAGCCACCATTGCGGACCCGATCCTGTCTGCGCTGGAGAGAGCCACCGTCTTCCTAGAACAGAGGCTGCCCGAAATCAACCTGGATGGCATGGTGGGGGTCCGGGTGCTGGAAGGTAAGTGAGCCCCATTTCCCCTGGTTGGACACTCAGCTTTGTCCTCTGCCCTGCTCTGTATGCCTGGGACCTGGCAGCCTCCTGACCCCAGAATAGCCTGCCTCGGCTATAAGGAGAGAGTAGACCAGGGGCTGGGTCTTCCTGGGGACTGTGGCCCAGCTAACTGTTATGCAACTTTTTAGAAGTAGGAAAGATTTAAAGGCAACATGGGAAGGGATTTGGGAATTATCTTTTTCTCAGAATGAAATGATCCATTTGACAGCTCCTCCTGACTCACCACGAACAAGGGGAGCAGGGAGAGTGCTCCGCCAACAGATATTTGTGGGAGGGCCCCTCCCCTTGAGGGAGGTG